CATAGGCTTTGGGAAGGTTGTAGAGTCCTCCTGGGGGTTGGGGGGCATAAATGAGCCAAAATGGCCCATTGTTTGCTTGTTTTTGCCCTCCCCAGCCTCCAGGAGCACTTTGCAGGCCTCCCAAACCCTCTGCACGTCCATTTTTGTGAAGGGGGAGGGGTTTGGGGAGGTCAAAAATGCTGCATTCAGTGTTTAAGATGCACCCAGATTTTCACCCTCTGTTTGGGGGAGAAAAAGTATGTGTTATACTCTGAAAAATAGTGTAATATGCCAAATATGAACCTCTTGAAAAGATCAGGACATGTTTTATTCCCTAAAGCTCTCTGTACATACAGCAAGCTGTTAGAGAGTCAACTCAGGTTGTTAGATGGGCTGTTCATAAGCCAATTCAAAGTCTGTGAAGACTGGTAGGTCAATAAATAAACTATATTCTTAAGCCTTGTATGATGTTTCTACATGCCACAGCTTCTTAATGTGAGCTACTATTAAATAACAAGATCATTTAGAAGTTTGTGTAATCAATAAACAAATCTCAGATTCAAATTCTATGAAAAAGCTCTACCAGAAAGTTGGTGGTTTTTAAAAAATTCTATGAAGAAAAGCTCAGCTGTATTTTAAAATATGAATAACAAATCTGTGATTTACATTATTCCCCCTGGAATGTGGCCACTAGACTAGTTTCCTTAGTTGACTCCAATTTGGTGACCCAAGGGGGATTTTAAAAAATGGAATGGTTTGGAAGAGTTAAATGAGATGCAGTCATTGACTGTATATCTATATCACTCTGATGCAGTGACAGAGTTGTCAAGAACAAATTTTGCCCTTTCTGTTTTTATTGGGTAACCTTAATAATTTGTGGGAATGCTGTGGACATAACACTGATTTCAGTTAAGCATTTGGCAAAATTCTCTGTTGAATCTGAATCAACAAGCTAGTTAAATGTGATCTAGGTAGCATGACAAATTTTGAATCCAAATTTCCTTGAAAAATGTTTATAATTAAGGAGGAGGTTGTCACATGTGGATACCCAAGCCTTTAAATCTTGGGTGACTATTTTCAACATGCATTTTACTTGGATAACAACATGGAGAGAATACTTAACAAATTTCCAGGTACAACAAATTTGAACACGGCTGCTACAAGACACAAACTACTCTGAAAATAAATGATCAGTGAATTTATTTTGAATTGTTTCTTAGGAATTTAAATGTAACAGAATTTCATTTAACAAACAAATGTGAAGCATTTTTCTAAGGAAATATCGAGGAGTATAATTTGGTGTAACTAACTTGGTAATAGTTCTAGTGAAGAGCATATTGGAATTGGAATTGATACTCAGATTAATATGAGTGTGATATGGAAACAAAAGACATTTGCAAACCTGGGACTGTATTAGCACCACTCTACATATTCTGGGTTGATTGCACTGTATCTTATATACCAAGGATGTGTCTTAAGAAATGTTTGATGTGTTCTTTATTTCTTGTACAGTGATTCTAAGAACTGCATGTCATTAATTTTATATTTTTCCTTAACATGGAATGCAGTAGCAGAATATGACTCCTCCTTAACTGTCATATTGTTCTTGGTATATCCAGTTCTTAGATAGACTATTCTTAATTGTTATTTGAATTCTTAACCCATAATCATGCATGAAATGTTGGCAATTTCTTAGAATAGAAGCTTTTCATTCTCTTTTTTAGGGAATTATCTGTTTCCCTTAGCAACTTCACCACTAACACATATGCTGTCTAAATGCACCCTCTTTAGTGTGGAGCAAGCTTTCCCAACTGTGGCAACTTGGACTCCAAGACCCAGAATTTCTTTGCCAGCTGTATGGTGTAGAGCAGAGGTGGGGAACTATGGCCTCTTTATGAGTTGTGAATTTCAACTCCCAGAATTCCTGAGCTAGCATGGTCATAAAAGTCATAAAAGGGCCATACTTCCCCCACCCCTGGTGTAGAGTTTTACCTTTTCATGTGCTATTTTTGAGACAGGCCTTCTCACTTACCTCATGTGCTGTTAAAGATGCCATACTCTATATAAATAAGGTAATATATTACTGTGGGAGTGGAGTAAAAGATGGATCATATTCAGAGAATGATATTATCCAGCAGCTGAGGAAATAGAAATCTTGACTGTTTCAGGTAAAGAGCTTTGGAGATTAGAGATGGACTGTTAGACTTTGTTCACGTGTTATATTAGTAGAAGGACAGGTCATGTTGATTCCTCCACCCTTATTACTGTTGACAATTCATAATCTTCCAGTCATTCCCCCATGTATTTTTGGTGAAGTTGTACAACTGGAATTCTGGAGGAAGTGATTATTTAACTTGAAATGTACATCGAAGTTAAATATGCAGGAAATGATTTTTTATTTGTTTAATGAAAAGAAGGACTAGGGATGAAATGATAGCACTGTTCTGATATCTCAGGGGCTGCCACAAAGAAGAGGGAGTCAAACTATTCTCCAAAGCACCTGAGGGCAGAAGAAGAAGCAATGGGTGAAAACTAATCAAGGAGAGAAACAATCTAGAACTAAAGAGAAATTTCCTGACAGTTAGAACAATTAATCACTGGAACAACTTGCCTCCAGAAGTTGTGAATGCTCCAACAATGGAAGTTTTGAAGACGAGATTGGACAACCATTTGTCTGAAATGATATAGGGCTTCCTGTCTGAGTAGAGGGTTGGACTTGAAAACCTCTAAGGTCCCTTCCAACTCTGTTATTCTGATATCTCTTATTTCTTCATTGCTTTTCCTGTTTTAGAAAAAATAACACAAATATAATAAGTGGAGAGGTTATTCTTTGTTAGGAAATACCTTTCTTTAATGATAACAATGCACTCCCATTTTTTGTTTACTTAGAAATGAGTGTAAGTAAACCTATTCCCAGTGAAGTATGAATAAGATTGCAAATTGTTATTAAAATTATGGGTGTGACCTTCCAGTTTGATAACTAGGAAACTATTGAAAAAAATTACAGAATGTGGCACCTTTAACAGTCTTCCTATGCATTCTTTGCATAATATTGTCCTTCTCTTTCTTCCATTCTTATATTACCAACTCTTTAGCCTCGGGATATAAGCCCAGAAGAGATAGATTTAAAGAATGAACCTTGGTATAAATTCTTTTCGGAATTGGAGTTTGGGAAACCGGTAAGTTGATAGTCCCAAGCATTAATAAATAAGATTTTGTTATGTATCACTGTCTTTTCCATCTTCACTGTATGCATAATGGAACAAAAATTAACTCATCCTGGTTTAGTCAACGATTGTACTGTAAAAAAGAGTTATTATTTTATAAACTATAGTGTGTGTTATTTATCTTTTGAGAAAATCATGCAGGCCAGATTTTGAAAATCAAACTGAAGGAATATCAACAAATTTGTAACTATAAGATACTATGGATGTTTTTCTATAGGTCTTCTAGAATTACGTTTCAAACTGTAATTTGATTCTACAACCATGAGGAGTAAATTCAGTCACCTTGTTTTTCCAACTCGTATGCTTTTCAAATTTTGTTTTTGCTAACAAGTAGGAAGGGAGAATATCAGAAAGTTTTCTCATTTTGAAGTTCTCATTTTTATCTTGGCATTGAATGAAATTGTTGGTTATAGAAGGCCTTATATGAGAGGACTGCATGGATTTTATTTGGGATCTATATTTCAAAGGAAAATGTACCAATTAAAGATTTCTTCCAAAAGGCAGTTCAATAGTTGAAAAAAATCATTTGGTGAAATTTAGTTGTTGACTTACTGCCTTTCCTTTCTGAAGCTGAAGGCAGTGCACACAGAACTGAGCTAAGACAGTGGTTGTCCTAGAACAGTAATGGCGAACCTATGGCACGCGTGCCA